TTATTATTTTTATTTTATGTGTACGTGTGTATTGCCTGCATGTAGGTAAGTGCACCCATGTCATGCAATCCCTGCAGAGGACAGAAGAGCCTGTGGGATCCCCTGGAACTTGAGTTATGGATAGCTGCCATGTGGGTGCTGGGATTCGAACCCTGGTCTTCTGCAAGAACAACCAGTATTCTTAACCGCTGAGCCATCTCTCCAGCCCCCTAGAATTAAATCTTTAGAGTGTGTAATAGTTGGTGATCCCTGACCTCAGGGGAGGTGCTGGAGGGGTGCTGCCCAGAGCACTGAGCCTAGCTCATGTTGCCCTGCATGCACTGGAAGAGTGAACTCCCTACACTCAGCCCGTCCATTTATAGTCTCTGGATTCCTCTCCATGCAGAATCCGAAGAACTCAGTCAGGAAATTTCAACACCGATGTACCAGGGATGGCTGAGTTTCGACGAGGTGGACTCCGGGCAACTGCAGGGCCAAGACTTTCTAGGACCAGGGACGCCAAGGGACAGAAATGGTAAGGCTCTATCCAGCCTGTCTGTAAAGAGCTGTATTGAAATCCTGGCCACAAGTTCAGCGGAGGCAGGGCTGGGTGTGCACAGCCTCAGCCCTTCTTGCAGAGCCTTCAGCCTGTCGGCTTCACTTGGCACAACATGGCCTATACTCACAAGCCCTGAGGTAAAGCACAAGGCTCTTGACGGGGGCAGGTTCTGGGGACAGGAAGGCTGTATTAGTTACTTTTCTAGCTGTTGCAACAAAAATACCTAACCAACACAACTTAAGGAAGGAAGGGTTTATTTTGGCTCCCAGTTTGAGGATTCAGTCACTCATCATGTGGAAGGCATGGCAGCGGGAGCTTGATGTGACTGCTCACATGTGTCCTGGGTCAGGAAGCCGAGTGTTGAATGGTGGTGCTCAGCTCACTTCCCCCTTTTTATCCAGTCTCAAGACCCCAGCTCATGGACTTGCTGCCCAAATTAAAGGTGGGTCTTTTCACTTCAGTTCACCCAATTAGAAATTCTCTCACTGACATCCCCAGAACTTTGTCTTCTATTTGTAGATCCTGTCAGGTTGCCAGTGTTCACCATCACAAGGCCTGTCAATGGCTCTGCATGGCTGTACTACATTCTCAGCCATGCCTTTCATGCTGGATTGAGATGCTCTTGTGCAGCCATTGGGAGCAGATCCTAGGATCCCAGGCCTGGGTTGCAGTCTCTGCCTAACCACTTCCTGCCTGTAAGCTCTAAGCTGTTATATAGCTTCTGTTCCTCCATTTGTAAAATGGGGACTGAAAACAAGTATGTTATTAAAGTTTTTATGGTACTTGAATAACCTGCTGTACATCTAACCCAAGGATCAGCCATCTGCCAATCAAGGGTCAGCACCCTCATGTCTCTGGGGGAAAGATAGCATGGTCTTTTACTTGCCTCTGGGTTGGTACCCTCCTTCCACAGGCTCTTGGTGGGGCAGGCTGCACCTGCCAATATCCCCCACACCTGCACTGTAGCAAACTGCACTGAAGAATGGTAACTAAAGGGTCTGCCGAGACCTGAGTGGCACTGGCATCAAAGTGGTGAGCTCCGCATAACAGTCCCCATCATGCCTTAATAAACACATATAAAATACCCAATCTGTGTAAACATTTCCCTAGTGAACCTAGTGAACACCCTCCTATTTCTTTTCTTCAGCTCTCCCTGTTCTGGGCGATCACCTCTCACAAACCTGCATAAACAAATCCTTATGTTTTAGCGAAACCCCTTTCCATATCAGTAAGTCCCTATAACCAGCACCTCCAGCACAGGGTCTTCCCAGATCTACCCTTGTGCTGAATATCTCCCACACCTTTATTATATTTTACTCAAGGATCCAAAGAGGCCAGTGTTGATCCTTCTAGTCACAAATGTCAATTTTCAGGAAATATTGGCCTTTAGGGGCTATAGGGAATCCAAAGATCACAGGCCAATTCAGAGCCAAAGAAAGCTTATCTTCTGTATATTCCATAATTATTTATTCTAATTTGCCTAACAGTTTTCTTAATATAGGCATTTTGTTTCTGGGTTTTGTAAGATGAAACAATAAAGCTACAGTAAGCTCTAGTGAGTCACCTTCATTCCAAGTCTAGCTGTTTCTTTAAGGATTGCTTCTAGATGGGGAATCCTTGCGTTGGGATGGAAGAATTTTTCTAAGACCAGGAGGTGTTTTCCTGGTGCATATGCAGTCTGCCTGACTCTTCGGGGCATGGGGTAACCAATGTCAGAAACTTGCTCTAACAAAGGGAAAACCTGCAATTCCAGCCACATGGATGCTGTGTTGGGATGTCTAGATGCATTGTTGTCCATTACAGTGGTAGATAAAGGGAAGGAGAATGGGGGCAGTCTGGTGAGCTTTCTGTCTTTACCTTAACAGTGCCTGTGGTAACAAAACCAAACTTAGAAAAAAACAGTTACTGTCCTGAGGAGAAATTTGTATGATTATATGCTAATGCCCTCTGACATGAAATCTGTAGATATGTAAGGCACAATCTTTTTTTTTTTCTTGAGAAAGGTTGCTACTGATATTCTTGTGGGGAGAGTACATATTTTTTGAAACTTCCCAGCCTCCATCTTTTTCCAGTGAAAATTGTTGTTTTTAATATAATATTTGGTAGCATTTACATTAATTTCAGATTCTGGAAAAACAAATTTTATTGTCTCAGTTCCCCAGGTAAGGTCTTCAGTGAGACCTGTATCTCCTATAACATGCTGTACAGTCTTTTGTCACTACAGCCTTACCAGAATTAAGCAGTTTAAGTTTTTCTGTTTAATTTGCTCTACTTTTATAGCCCTCCAAAAGATTACAGTTTTTTTTAGTTTAATTTTCAGGTTTGTTATTTTAGTTTGTTTTTTGAGACAGGGTCTTCCTGTAGCCCTAGCTGGCCTGGAACTCACTATGTAGACAAGGCTAGCCTTGAACTCATAGAGATCCATTTACCTGCCTTTGTCTTCTGAGTGCTGGGATTAAAGGCATTTTAGTTTGTAAATTTTCTGTATTTGTGGTCAGTTTTATTTAATTAATATCTTTATAGAGTTCTTTCTACTCTCTGAATGTTAAACCAAGTCTGATAGCTATGGCACAATCTCCTTGAACTTCATTGGAATTTACTTTTCTTAGTGATTCTTTGATAAATGAAAGTTTTATATTTCTGTATAATGAGGTTCATCAGCTTCTCCTTTGTTTTTGTTTGGGGGACACAGTCTAGCCAGATAGCCAGGCTTGGCAGAATATGCAAGGTACCTTCCCTGTTCTCTCTGGATGGTTTTCTAAAGCATGCTCAGCCATGGCCCTGGCAGAGGGTCTGCGAGATCCTGTCTCTGAGAAAAGATGAGGAGAGGCTGGGTCTGATATTATAGGGACAAGAAGGCTGGGGCGATGGGAGATGTACCAAAGAGTACATAGGAAAATATCTGAAGATGAGGACCAGCACCTGGATTCCCTCAAAAGGTCCATGGGACAGAGGCTTTCAATTATCTCGGAAGTACTTACTTCCCACCTAAAGAACAAAAATGTCCCTCTGATACATGGGATCTGCCTGTCTCTACTCCCCCTCCTCTGGCACACTAGGGTTGCAGGTGTGTGCCACCACACTGGACTTTTACATGGTGTACCCAAGAGACAGATCAGGTTCTGAAAATCATTTAGGGGGCTAGAGGGATGGCTTAATGTAGTGGTTAAGAGCACTGGCTGCTCTTTTAGAGGAACCAGTTCCAGGGAATTCAACACCCTCTTCTGGTCTCCTTGGGCACTGCATGACACAGGTATGTTTATATACAGAAGACAAAAAAAGTTTCTGAGAAAAAAATTTCTGCTTGTTAGTGGTGCAGTGGACCCTCTGTATACAGGGTGGATCGGCCTACAATGGTTACATAATATTTTCTGAATCTGCAGACTTTTTTCTTTTCCTTGTCGTTATTTCCTACCAATGAAATGTAACAACTGTTTACATGGCATTTGCATTGCCTGAGATACTGTAAGATGGCTATGATTTAAAGTACTTGGGATGATGCCTGTGGGTTATTTGTAAATATTTGGGGCTTGAACATCCTAGAATCCATCCTCCATGGATACCGGGGGTGGGGGTGGGGGTGGG